AAACGAAAGAGTTGCTGACAGAGCTCAGGCATGAAAAAGATGCATACAAGAGGTGGAAGCAGTGTCACATCACCCAGGAGGTGTACAGAGACACTGTCCAAACATGAGGGGATGGTCAGGAAAGCCAGTGTCTCCCAAGGGACATGAAGAGCTATAGGAAGGGCATCTACAAGTGTACCTGCAACAAAAGGAAGACTAGGAAAAATGTGGTCCCATTGGATGAATGAGGCAGGGGACTCAGTGACAGCAATACGGAAAAGGTTAATATACTCAATGCTGCCTTCACCCTTGGTCTTTACTGGTAAGGTATGTCCTCAGAAATCCTAAGTCCTTGAGACTAGTGGGAAAGTCTGGAGCAAGGAAGTCTTGTCTTATGCTTGGTAGAGGAGGATCAGGTGAAAATACAGGAAATTTGATTTAAACTTGAGGAAAAACTTTACCATGAGGGTTATCAAGCACTGGAACAGGCTACTGTGAGGAGTTGTGGAGTCTCCCTCCTTAGTAATAATCAAAACCTGACTGGACATGGCACTGAGCAATGTGCTCTGGTTGACTCTGCTCTGAGCAAGGGGGTGGCTGGACTAGATGGTCTCCAGAGGTCCCTTCCAACATCAACTGTTCTGTGATTCTGTGAAATCAGTGTTGCTGAAGCAGCTGCAGAGTGAAGACCTGGAGGTTTGGCTCCAACTTTGTATCTTCAGATTGAATATTGCAGAGGTCTAAGTCAGCATAACCTTACCTAAGACAGTAATTACTTACCAAACTGTTGGCATATATTCTTCATTTGATTTGGGTTCTTTTATTACATCAGTGGTCCTGCACATGCTGTGAATAAATGCAGAACTGGACATTCCTTGACTTTTGGTAAAAAAGGAAGTGTCAAAATGCACCACTGGCGTGGGGGGAAGCAGGTGTTGAGAAGTGCTCCCATGATATCACCCTTAATAAACTTAAAATACAGTAATGTTATGAGAAAAATGCAATTATGTACTGTATTACCAAAGTGTAATGATATTTAAATGCAAATTCCCAAACTCAGAACTCTTCTGTCTCCGTAGTTAATATTCCCTGTCTCCTGTTATTCACACCTTAATATCCTGTGCTGAAAGCACATGCCAGGTCTTACCCAGGTGAGTAGCTATACTGAAAAGACTTGTTGTATGAGCACCATCACATATATTGACTGGGAACACCATCTGTAAATTTTGTATGGCAAGGCATTTAATCTGTACATGACAAATTCTGCTTCTCTGCTATGATTTTAAATTTTTTTTTAAAAAAAAAGAGGGGATATAAACTACTAGTAGATATGGGTAACATAAGCTACCTTCATTATAGTCTGTAAACTTGCAGCATTGAACTGGGATTATCGTTAGTGAAGATACTTAGATCCATTGTTTTCTTACTCTGTTTGGAGGCTGAGTCCATAAAGTTTTATGAGCTGTAGTTTAGATAATGTTAGGAAGTAGCTTGTCTGGAACTAAAATTGTCTCATTGTTTGAAACGGGCAGGGACAGGTTTTGGTCTTCTCTGCATTAGTCTATTTGCTATAAAACAGATCTTATCTTTCACGTATTACGGAACTATGCATTAAATTTCTGGTTTCATACATGGAAATACCGTGGATCTGCCTTCTTGATGTCTGTGGCTGCATGTGAGTACAATAATGATCTAGTTCATAAGAAAAGAGATCTCTGGGAAAAAAAACGAAAGAATGTTTATATTCTGTTTTGGTTTGGTTTTTTTTAAGAGATACTCACCCAGATAAACCAGAGAATCTTTTTGATTGTTAGAAATGTGTTTCCTTTGACGTATTCCCATCACAACTGGGATTAACTGCATTCTAGAGGCTGAGTGTAAATTCATTTACGCAGTAAATCAGTGGCAGAACAAGCCTACAATCCAGGTTTTTCTGCATTATCCATCTACCTTGACTTTTAAGAAGCAAATGCTGACTTGTTTCTAGCCTTTTTGGATTTATATGTGTTTATAGCCTAAGCCCATGGAAGTCTCCTCCTTTTTGATAGCCTAAAGAAAACTCTTTACTTTTAAAAAGAGGATGTATGCTATCAGCAAACTGAAATGTACTGCATGTATGGATGCCAATAATAAAAGCCAAGAGCACTTTCTTCACTGAGTTTATTTTTCCACTAGGATAATATACTTAGTACCTTCTGGTCAGTTACAGTTAGGGAAGATGATGATTTTTGTACAGTGTTGTTTTTTTTGCAGTACTCAGTAAAAATTTATTTTTGCTGATGGTAGCTGAATCTCAGGGAATTACTGTTGTTCTCATGCAAGATGATGTTCTCAAAGAACAGTGCAGTACTAACTGTGATAGATCCATGGATTTAGGCAGTCACTCTTAGTAGGAGTTCATGATGTGTTCAAACAAGTTCAGTGTTGTTTGCACTGACAATGTACCAAGTGAGTACTCCACCCAAAAGCAGAGCTGAGGTCTTGGAGAGAGCATTGCTGAACAAAGGCACAGTCAGGAAGGAGCTAGAATCTGTGATGTTCAGAACTATTGTTCAGGCCCATCATCTCCATCCCAAAGCCCCCAAATTTTCAAATTCAGGGCTTTGAGTCAGGCCGACTTTTCACTCATGTTGATTGTTTTCAAACAAAGAGTAGGTTTTTTTTTTCCTTTTTTTCTTCTTCTGTCAAGAACTATGAAAAGAATTCAGCTCTCTTAGAAGTGCCTCCCTTCTGCTATATATTTCTTAATTGAGTTCTTGGCATAAGGAAAGGAGAAACTATTTCTAGCTATTAGAGTAGCTGTGTGAACTGGGAAAGCCTCCAACTTCTAGAAATATGTTTAAAGGCTTCAAGAAGATCTAAATTTCCAAATAATTTTTACTCCTTTGCTTGGTCACCTGTCAATGTTTGATAAATAGGGTGGGACTATTGTCAATATTTGACAGCTCTACTTCAAATATGAAGAATAATATTTGTGTTGTATATGAAATGCAAATCAAGTGTTTTATTCTATGGTTTGATAGTTACAGAAGCAAATTATAAACTCTCCTTTGCCTCCCTACAAAGGCATAGAGAGGGAGGAAAATGTTACCAGTGGCAACAGTCTTCCCTGCTGGGAAACAAACCAGTGAGATTCCTCACTCCTCCCACCTAAAGTCATGTCCCAAGGAGGGTTCTGTGATAAAAGTTTCTTGTGAAGTGTTTCTGAGTAAAAAACAGCAAGGTACAGCTATTAATTCAACCCAGATTACCAGTGAAGTCTTAAGTAACAGAGCTCCTCCTATCTCCAGCGGCACATCGCCAGGACCCATTGAACTGCTCTGCAGTCATATACTGCAATACAAAACCAAATTTTCTGCAACTTTCCCTATATTGAGAGAAATTCCTCCCAAAAACCCACCATTTGGCATTAGCTTGCTGGGTGGAGCAGCCTGCCCTCTCTCTCCATAGTCATACGGAACATGACTATGGCATTGTCCTCATTTAGAAAATCAAGATGCAGTGTAGTCAATGTGAGATGGGTTTAATGAGTATCAGAAGTAGGCCTGGATGTCACTTCCCAATCCTGTGTTCCAAAGTGGTTTCCCATGATTTTAAATCTTTAGAAACATATTAATATGTAACTGGTTTGACACAATAGCCAGGAGATAACTACTTTTGTAACTGAAGGAGAGGCACTGAGTGTACGATGGCTCAGCCACAGCCATGCTCAGTGAAAACTGAGGTTAACTCGCAAGGAAGTATCAGCACTGCTCAGCCTGGCCTGCCTCAGCAGTGTTACTTTTGTTGGTAGCTAGATTAAGCCACCACCCACACAAAACAAAGGATAAGGAAAAGAGCCAGTTTATTCAGGAGACTTTCAAACCTAGCATTGTTTCAGATTTGGCTTTGGTCCAGCATGAAATACATTTTGTGTGCTCCTAGAGCTGCCCTGTAGAGAGGACCCTGAGGTAGCATGAAACAGCTCAGTTACTAGAATTGTAGTTTGCTGGTTACTCTGTTAATGAGTGTCCAGGAAGAAACCCAAGTAACAGTAAAACACTATTACTCCATGTTGTCCAAAACAGTCAGACTGCTTTGCCATTAGTTAAACCTAGTTCTTCCTCAAATCCTTTACTAGGATTACTTCACTGTTAATCTGTTTCAGCTGTCAGCCAGGAAAGTCAGATCTCAAAGCCCATTCCATCCTTCTCTCGACCACAGAGTGCTCCATCGAGAACTAGAAAGCTGAGCAGTCTTGACTCAGACTGAAAGACAATTTCAGTGGACTTTAAGCACATCGTGTTCCTGTATGCTGGTTCCATTCCTACTTTGTCTTAACTTTCTTATGATACTGTCTGTGCTCATGAAGTTCTTTGAGATCTAATGATAGTACATGTTTCTAAATAGGTAAGACCTTTCAGACTTAGGCAAATATCACATCATTCACAAATAGTTCATAGAAATAAACAAATTTTCTTCATACTGAATTGTATGAGAAATCAAATTAAAAAGAAAAAAAGAGATAGAGATGGAGTGGTTGCACTGAAATTTCCCTTCAGCTTCTGTGAATCAAGTTCGTTCAACTTCCTCTAATTCCAAACACAAAATCTAGCATTGCTAGACAGGAGGGGAGTGTAAGGATGGGGTAAGCATTTAAACTGGATTTTTCTAGACAAAGACTGAAACACAGATGGCACATTACCCTGAACAGTTAAATCCTGTATTGTACTAATTCTGTTGGAGTACGGTGTTTCAGTCTAACGTTTTCTCTAGCTAGGAACTCGCATGTCTTGCAGTCTTTGTCTGGTTATTTTAGTGTGGTCTGATTCTGTTAGAGTAAGTCTACTAATTCTATTTGAATTAGCAGCTACAGCTGAGAATATGAGATTGTTCAAAGGAAAGATCCATGATATTAACTTTTATTAGTTTATTCCTATAGGACTTCATTATTTGAGAAAACAGAATAATAACGATCTTCAGGAAATAGTTGTAACTTTTGCAACTTTTATATCATGTGCTAAGATATCAAAGGTTACTATTCAAGTGTAGCCAACGAGCTGTGGGGTGCTGGGGAAGACTTTGCGCATGTCCATACACTTCTTGTCAATGAAGGAGGAGTTTGTCTTCACATAAATTTCATGCTCCAGCTTTGATTTGTTGAGGATTAGTATCTGCAGGGTATCATGGGCTTCTTTCAGATGTCACTTTAAAGTCTGTAAGGTGTCGTCTAAAGTTTAAACTTCACTGCCAAGCCTGAAAAAAGAAGGGGACAGGTTGCTCAGATAACTTTAGCAGTCCCTCACCACGTTCCTTTTTTGAGGGTGCATAGGTCACGCTTTCAGGCAGGATTTGAACAGCTGTCTTGGACTGAATCAGTATGAAACCTGTTTGCCGAACTAGCTTGCATAGCACCTATAAGAAGCAATGATTTCTTCCTTGCATTGACCTTCAACAGCTGATGAAGCCACTCTGCTTTGATACATATCTTTCTAATTGCTGTCTTCTTCACTTGCAGCCTCTCATTTGTGTAGCCTCTCTATGGCTGTGTTGAGCACTTGCATAGGGTCCTGTTGAATACATGTGGGATGGATGTTACTGGAGAGTGTTGGTGTAGTTCATGATAGCTCAAACCTGTGCAGCAGGATGTGCTAAACAGTCTAGATTTGGCGCAGAAGCATGTTAATCAGAACAAGAATCACTTGCCAGAATAACCATTGAACATGGAGCTCCGAAATCAAGATTTTCTGTGAGCTGATATTAGCCATGTTTTCTTCCAGCGGCTTATCAATGGAGATGTGGCAAATCTTCTTGTATAGTCACTGAGCTGGTAAACTCTCTTTAATACTGTCAACTTTGCATTTTGTCTAATGTTTGATTAATTGCTCAGTGCAGTATAGACCATATGAAAGATTTTTCCAGGATCTACTTTAACTTGTTTTGGGATAGTTGCAGTTGTTTCAGCACAGAAAAGCTAGACTTTATTAATTTGTTCTCTGTCTAATCCCTTCAACTACAAAGTTGGCAGCACACGTAGGGAACAAATGCCAACATCAGCACTTCCTTTCAAATAAACAGCAAACTCAGATAACATTGACATGTTACAAAGAAGTGGTTCATTTGATATTTTCTTTCGCTATTACAGTTGAGCTATTGGGCTGAATTCCTTCTTGCTTTAAACCACGAGAGAAATACACTTAACAAATCATTTAAAAGCAAAAAATCTTTAAAAATGAATTAGCAAATGGTTTTACTTTCTTAAATAGGATCTTGTGTCTAAGAAAATTCATTTTGAGATGTGAGCTCAATCAAAAACTGTGATAGAAAAAAGTGTCAGCATTTCTATTTCTAATTGCAGTTATAATGAACATAACATTCAATGATTTGGATCAACTAAAGCATCCAGCATAACCTGGTCTGGATTAGGGAGCTGTGGTAGAGCAAAATTCGTATGTGTCAGAGGAAGGAGAACAGGATATGTTAGTTATCTGTCAATATAACTACATCTAGTAAACAGTGTACTTGTATAAGCATTTTGGTTAAAATATTAGAAATCATATTAGACTGACAGAAAACATGCATGTATGTTAAGCCTAAAATACTTCCAAATAGCTGTGCAACAGCTTGTAAAGCTCTTATATAACCTAGAAGCTAGTAGGAGTTAGATTGAGCCAGAACCCCACTGTACTTCCTGGGTTTTAAGTATACCATGTTAGTGTCCATTTATGTCATGTTTTAAGTTTTTAAGTATGTCATGTTAGGGTCCTATTCAAAGACATTCTGATGTTCCAGTGACTTCAAATGAAGCTTCCAAACTCTCTTAGACAGGATCCTTTGGAACGTCAACAGCATCACTGGCAATTGAGGGAAGAAGAAGGGATAATGTGACACTGCATTTTTGATCCCGAATCAGACAAGTTTTATGTCTTGGGTACATGCCGTCGTGCTGACTGGACTGATATCAATCATAACGCTGCAGACATTTTTGTGGAAGAAACCTTTGGGGAGGAAGGAGTGAGTATAAAACTGGAGTTGTGTATTTCGAGACATGGTTTAGTGGGTTTAGCGGGCATGGTGGCATCGGGTATACGGTTGGACTTGATGATCTTTGAGGTCTCTTCCAACCATCATGATTCTGTGATTCTATGATTACTGTTTAAGGCCATCTTGGTTTGTTTTGTCCTTTTTTTTTTTTTTAAATAAAATGCTGATACTGGCTTATTTGCATACCAAATTGATGGTCTGGTAACTGAACTGGCAAATGATCTGATCCCATAGTAAATGTAACTGCTGAGTGAATGCTACAGTATGATCAGAAGTTTTTCTGGTTTCTCACAGCTGAACTCCTGCATCTAGAACAGGCATAACTTATATGATATAAAAAGCCACGTGAATAAAACTATCCAACTATGGATATAAAAGATTCAGATCCAAAACAATATTTTATGACAGAATGGATGTGGAGAGCAGAGCATGAAGTTGAAGAAATCTAATATATGGATATGCCAAAGGAAATGTCAAGATCCGATTAAGGAGGTATGAGGCTGAAAAAAGATATATTGCGTTGTGCAATTTATGGTTTAAGGATTTAGAAAAGTCAAAAGATGCCGGTACAATACACTTACGATTTATTGCCACTTCCTTGTTTGAATAGAATCTTTTTGAACTGATAAAACACTGTTTAGGAAAAATAATATATATACTTCATTTAAGCATTATGTACTTCATTAATCTCATTGTATGTGAACCTGTTGTATACAGTGGCATTTTGCTAGAGACAAAAATAAAAAGGGAATAGTTTTCTGCTTCTCATAAAAATATGCAAAATTCTTTTACTGGACTGTGAAATTCATTCCAGCTATGGGAGGAACCCTGGTGCAGTATTTCTTGAGTATTTCATTTTTAAGACAGTATTTTAAATAAGATATACTCCATATGGTTCTTTTGGAACACTGATGTGTTCCAGCTGGATTGGAGAGAGATAAATGGGATTAAAATTCAGAAGACCCTTCTTCAGTCATCAGGGAAGGCAGGCTAGTATCTCAGACATCATCTTGTATACCCAGAAAGACACAGTCCACATTACACAATGGATCATAGCAGAGCTATGCCCCCACGGCTATATAACCAAAACGTATGCCAAATGACCTAACCTGTACCAAGATGATACTGGAGTCACTATATAGTTGAAAATTAGTTGAGGCAGTAAGAGATGCTGCCTCATTCTTATTTGCAATTAACTTTTTAAGGAGCTTGACCATTAGATAGTTTTATGCCTCAAAAGACAGAATTTTGTCTGGGATCACATTGTTTCTAAAATTAGGGATATCTTAAAGTGAAATCTTGTATTGCATACAGAATGGAATTAAAATCAATTCCTAAATCCCAACTCAGACAGGAGACTGAATCCCAAAAGATACCACCCACCAACAAGCAATTGAGCTCTTAACTATCCTGGGAGAGGGACTCTAAAGGCAACTACACACACTGAACATTAGAAGTTTTGCCCCAGTATTTCAACATAGCTACTTGTATTTTACTTCTTTCTCCCAGAATTTGTATTGCAATGTAATGAATGCAATTCTAATCTCATCTAACCGATTCACACTGTCATTAAATTTCCTGTTCTTGAGTGGCTGATAAAGGAAGAGACGAAGTAGTCTGGCCTTTACTTACTGAAACTGAGGTGCATCACGGCAAAGTCCTATGTTGGGTCATTTAGTTCTTCCCTCCAGGCGGGTCTGAGCCACTCTCAGTGAGTACTCCTTTGCCTTTATGGATCTCTCCAGTAACATGATGGTTTCTTCTGTCTGGAAGGTTTCCTGAAATATCTGAACAAAGCAGAATGTTTTTGTAAGCCCCGCGTGCACACAAAATCAGAAGTCGCCCCCGCTTTTAAACACTCCTGTTGGAACTGCTTCTATTCTGGCATGACATTTTGCTTAATTTAGGGAAGGAGATTACTATAAATTGACATCAATCGGATGGATTTGTATAATGTTGGCTTGATCTTGCCATTTCTTTAAAAGGATGTATGGTAATCAAATCTCATAGGAGAGCCAGAAGGAGGGGGCCATACACTTACACATCACATGAAAGCATTTAATGAAGTTGTTCCTGGAAAACAGGCAAACAACTTCCACTAAGTAATGCACCATTTCTTTCCTAATATAAAATTAAGAAATTTGTAGGCAAGTTGGAATATAAATTTATTACAAGCAGAAGAGAAGCACTGAATTATTGTGATAGGGGAAATTCTAATTGTGTTTTTGTGATAAAGCCATTGTCATAGAGGCAGTGTTTATAGCACTACAGGGACTTATTTCCATTTTGCTTCATTAGCTAGCTTTTATCCTAAATAAAAAAATCTGCTGCTTCATCTATGAACATTTTGCAAAGGTAAAATTCCAATAAACTGTCGTTTTCATTTAAACCATCATTCAATTCTTATTTCCTTTTGCCTTATAAAAAAAAAAAAAAAAAGGCAGTCAAATACATCCCCTCTGAAATTGTTTCATACTTCAAGTATTCTGGGGACATTGGCTGCAAGAACATATGAACATAAGTCGTATTTTCATACTGAAACTAAATTCCCAAAGTTTTCAAAAACTCCACTGGCAGCTGTAGAGGGAAGACTAACTTCCTTTAAAGGCTTATTTTCTGTGAATGGAGAAGATACAGAGTGAGACATCACCAAAAAGGAGAGGCCCATGGAATTAGTGTAGAATAGTTTTTATTTGCAGGGCATGTTATCATATAATCATATTATCCCTGAGAATCCTCTAAGTGCTTCTTGTATGTTTTAATCGATATGAAAAAATGAGAGAAGTTGCAAGGGAAAAGTTTTACTCAGTCTTAAAGAAAGAAGAGAGAAAATGTTTATATTCAGGTAACGTTTCCCAGCCAATTGATTATTAAGTTACTTTCATTTCTCAGGATTCATTACAGCCAGTGTGGTGAACCTGTTCAAGCTTTTCCATAGATAGCTTTAAAATGTAAGAGAACAAATTGAACTAACGTAGTTTCCCAGCCAGTCTTCTAAAATTAATGCAACTTGAATGTCAACAACCACTAAAACCAGCATAATGTGATTTAAATTATGCTGCTATTTAGATCTTGCCTACACACTAAGTTGTACCAGGTTTGCTAATGATGTGTTTGGTTTGAAAATTGAATTAGTTCCTGCTGCTGAAAGGTTATTTATAGACAAAACCCCAAAGAGTTAAGGATGCCAGGAACCTGCGCCCCAGTCCAAATCCTTAAGGGCTTGTTGACGCTATAGTAGAGCAATGTGAAAGATCTCGCTAGCACTGTCCAAAGCAGCTCAACCCTTACAGCAATGCAGTTTTCCCGTAGATGAATCATCTCAGACCCTGCAGCAGCAGCATATGAAACATGACTGTACTGATTTGAAGCCAGGTCTCCACACTGTACTGAGCCCATTGGGTCTGAGGTTGGTTCTCACAGAGCTAGCTTGGGAGCATCTTCACCCAAAAAGAAGCCTTTATTGCTTATAGACTGCAGGGAAAAAAATCTGGTTTGTTATGAAGGGAACACAGTATTAAAGACAGTGAAGCGAATGGTAGTAAATTTCTCCCTATAATTTCATTCTGCAGAGGTTCCTTCTTAATTAGATAATCACTGTAAGCTAGCTGTGTTTTAGAGGAAATATTTGTGCAGGTAATCTAGTGCACTTTGGTAGCTATTTGTTTTGCAGAGGAACTACTTATGATAAGTGTATTATTAGGTACATTGTTTTGCATCTTGTCTATGATTTTACCAGTTACACATACTTATTTCTACAGATA